GTTCGATTCGGGAACGGTTCATTCGGTTCCATAAAAAGTGTACCAAATTAGAACCAAACGTTATTCGGTTCGGTTCGGTATGGTTCGGTTTCGGGACGGATCGGGTCGGTACTAAATTCCCGAACCGAAGTGCCCACCCCTAATTAAAATGATTGGACCGGTTTTTCATGGTTAAGGCATATACTTGCGAGTGTGTTTATATAGTATTCTATTTCCAATATATATATATATAATATAATATTGTATACTTTTTTTAAACGTATTCTAAAAATCTATAAGCCAATCTTATTGCATAACAAACTTCGATGATTTTTTGGTGTGTCAATAGTAGTTTGAACATGTAGAATACAACTTGAGATTAAATAAAAACCTTGGATTTTAATTAGAGCCCTCTCCCGCCATTTGGACCAACTAAGCTTGTTATATACTTATACATATCATGATTATCACAATAAACGTGAATAAAATATATTATAAAATCGTAATATATGTTTAATTATATAAAACAAACAAACTTATTGGATCTCCTGTTGTACTTTTTTAAGAGTTGATATTCAAAGCAAGTCTACTGTCTACCTCCCCTTTTGACAACCGAAGGCCAAAAGCAAAACATATTGGGACGCATACGACATTGACATCTCTCACACCACATTATTATTATTATTAATAATAATAAAAAATTCAAAAAATCTATATTCCCATTTCAACATTCCCTCGAATCTCTTAATTAACTATTCTTGCATGTATTATATATTTTGGATCGAAACTTTGGAAGAGCGATTAAAAAGATCACATTCATATATCCTACGTATTTCCATCAAGTTTCGAATTTTTAACATATAAAGTTTTGCATATTAGTTTTGACTTGAGTTTCCATTTTGAGGAGTTTTAAAATCATTTGTTAAGTATGTGTTTGTAAATGTAATTTAAATGTGTATATATATAGCAGAAAGAATGTTACATTCGTTGTTGGCCAAGGCAGGTGGAATGACTGGTCAAAGATACGCAGACGTGGATTTACTACCATTATTACATTTCATCCGGAATTCACGGCGCATGCATGAATCCAATCTAGCCATTATATTATTTATATATACTCAAAATGGTGGTAACCATAATAATATTATTGGATTTTTAATCTTAATAAAATTATATAATATATAGTCGATATAAATTACCGCCGACGTCGTTTATTAAACAACTATGTATATATACATGTGTGTCAAGATTTGCGGAATCTCTAATAATATATATATATATATATATATATATCCATATACGCGTAATCACATATCTATAACATAATTGTGTATGCATATTTTACCAAAACAAATGTGTATGTATATATATAAATAAATTACATGCAAGAAATTTATATTATAATCATATGGGATGCTACCGAGACACGACAGGAGAAATGTATTTCCGTATTAAGAGAAACGATGTAAAAAGCTTTTACATTAATTAATGGCTTAAACAGTTTTAGATGAGTAATAAAGCATTAATTAAAATGATAATTGGGGGAAGATCGCGAGTGGATAATTAGGACAAACCGGCAAAAGTGGTTTAAGTGCGTTGAAGTTGAGAGAATAAAGACAAAGCCTCGATTCTCCTTTGCATTTTTTTTTTGCTTCTAAAGTTATAGATCCCACATGCAAATATCCACCCCCCTTCTTTTTCTCAGTGGTTTCGCATTATGTTATATGTATATAATAAATTACCTAATGAAATAGTTGTGTATATTACATAAAATAAATACGATTACGGTTAAAAGATATGCACATGGAAAGGAATATAAAAAATTATACTCCTTCCGTTTCAAAATATTTGTAGTTTTAGATAATTTTCCATGTTTGTTATTCTACATTTTCAAAACATTTTTTTACAATAATTTCCAATTTTATCCTTATCAAATTCCAATACATTATTAATAATAACATTGTTTTTATCATCAAATAAGGATATATGTGATTTTCTTTTCTTTTTTTTAGAAAAATATGAAATAACCTAAAATAAAAAATATTTTGAAATGGAGGGAGTATCATTTTACTTCTTGTGGGATCTTGAAAATGATTCACGGTTTTGTCGGAAATCATATATTTATCTTATGTCTCTCACATGTATTAGTATATTTATTTATTTATTTATTTTTACTAAAGAGTATTCATTCCCATGCACAAATTCAAAAAAAACTGTAACTAAATCTTGCTTTCTTACATATTTTTTCGAACAATTTGTAAAATTTTTGTATTTTATTCCTTTTCAATTGTTGTAAGTATAAAATAAAATTCTTTCAGAAATTCCTAGATAGTATTGGGATCAAAATACGTCTGTTTTCTATATACAAACTTTACAAAGAGATTTGATGGGAATAGAAACTTGAACATGTTATAATGGAAAAATAATACATTGTTTTACTCAACTTTTATATTTACATATATAAATTATGTACATACAAATTTATTATATTTAACTCTAATTATAAGTAATTTTTCTTATAGAAAGTTTTGCTATGAGAATATTTCTTTTCTTTTTATTTTTAATTGGTTTTGGGTTGTGACAGCTGGTGTTTTAGCTCTTCCAATGAGGTTTAATTTTTAACTCAAAATTCAAATTTAAAAAAAAAAACAATTAAAGACGAATTTTTCCTTGCACAAGATCTTTTATAAGAATGGCCGACAGGATCTTCCTCCATTCACATGCAAACGAATACATCTTTATATTTCAACTTTTATATTTATTTTATTTTGGTACGTTTTCGGATTTTGCAATGATCAAATCCGAGCTTTGAGTCAATCATAAGTTTTTTCCAATTATATGATCCCCAAATCTTTTATCGTGTATTATATGCAAATAAAGTTTTTACCCTTTGTAAAAATGCTTACATACCTATATTGTGTTACTGCATTTCGCTAATTACCAAGATGTGGATATCGATATATAGTTTCAGTAATATACCAATAGTTTATTTATATCATCTTATGAAAGATCGATTAAAATATTGTTTAACATAGATAGAAAAAAAATGCGATTCTTATTCACCCTGTAAATAATTATTAGTTAAAACTATATTTCTAAGAATTAATGTGTTCAGAGATTCAAAGAAAAAGAAAGACCTTTTTGCACATAAGTTATAACACAACCACAAACAAAGTCCCCAAAAAACGTCGTCGTTTCAATGGCTCCAATTGTGTATACATATCCCCACATATCGTGATCCTCGAGCCCACGTACCCGCATAATCGCAAAGTTTTTGTTTCGCCCCTAAGAGATATGGAAGATTTATAACTTAGAGAGCACTGATCCAACATATATATATATATATATGCACGTTAATCTATGTATAAATTAATATTGATTGGATTAGTACATATATTCGCGAGCTCAAGATTTAATTACATAGTTACAAAACATATATATCCTCTCGAGATGGAGGGCACATATAACTTGTAATCGAAGAAAGAAAACAAGATTATTACACAGAAAAAAAAAAGGAACTAAATACTATATTCAAGTCTCGCGAGGACGAATACTGGACGATGAATAATCAAATCTCATAACGAGATTATTATTATTATCATCGTTCGATGGCCATGGTCGTAGTGTTCTTTCTCTTCTTGGAGCTTGGCTCAGGCGAAGAATTCACCGAAGATGAAGAAGAGGAAGAAGAAGACGACATAGTGATCAGCGAATCGGTCGAGCCATCGGAGCTAAACGTCGCGTCCATAACGCCGTTTGGACTGCCCGGCGCTACACCACCGAGCTTGCGTTTGGACCGCAACTGACCGTGGCTCGATAATGATACGAACCGTAGACATTGCTCTAGGTTATCCTGTATAACCCCAGATTGTATATAAGTCAATATCATCAAATGTATGCGTAAGTTTTATTTTTCCTTATAAAACGTATCAACTCACACATATAATCTCTTGGGGTATAGATCAAAACTTGAATCTGATATATATACATATATATATATATATACATATATATATCATTAATATCTAACCTTATCGATCCTGAGAATACTCATTAGTTGTTTCTCATACTCGGATGCAATGGTAGAGGTAACGACGCTATTAACTACGTGTAATGCGGTCGCGGCAGCCACCGTGGACGGAAGGTGTAACGTGAATCTGTAATCTATTAAGATTCCAAAGGTCACAAGAAAATGTAGGATAAGTTTGTGTTCATCACAAATATTGAACCGACCGAAAATTCCAAAAAAAAGAAAGTATAACTCATTTCATTTACCCGAGACGATGGAGAGAATGGTGAGCTCGCATCTTCTCAAGAACTCGAAGCCGATACGGCCCTTTAACCCGAAACGTTTAGAGATACGGTGGAGGAAGGAGAGAGAAGTTACTGGATTCATACGCCATTGAAGCGTCGAGAGAACTAGAATCTCCATTTTCTGTATCGTCTTCGCTTCGAACATGAATTTGCTCGTACCCTCCACCTAAAAAACGAGATTAAAGAAAACCCATCAAATTATTTTCAGATTCGAATTCAAAAAAACAATCCTCTTTGTAAGAACCGTGGACTGTATATGTACGTACTTGTAGGTCAAGCAAGAGAGGGACATGGATCTCCTCGACTTTGGCGGCGAGAGAGAGGCAACCGATGGCGGCGAGTTCGGTTATCCACGGCTTCTGATCTCGCCGGAATCCCTCGAACCGGAAGATGAACCGGTCGAGGAAATCGACTGCGAACAGAGCAGTGGTTGGTGAGAAACAATGGCGTGACGTGGCATGTAGAATCCACTCCACGGCCTCTCTCCGGGCTCCGGACACATCCGGATAGGGTTCTCGGGTTCGTCCGAACAATGGGGAAATCCCCTGTTCGGCCTCTTTGGCCAGCAATGCTTCGAGCTCGAGCTCATCGTCTTCACAAAGCATATTCTCTGTTATGTTATATGAACAAGAATAATGGGCTCGTGATTCGTTGTCGCTACCCTCTTCGTACGTCTCGTCTGAGCAAAACAGAGAATCGAATGTAGGGTTTATAATCTGTTCTTGCTCTTGCAGTTGTTCGTTGTTTTGTTCTTCCATCTTCTACTGTAGAAACAGAGCGAAACCAGAAGCGATTCAGAGACCGGAGCTTCTCTCTCTCTCCTCTCTCTCTCTCTCTCTCTCTCCGGTGTGCTTTGTTTTGGGAGGAGAGTGTGAAGACAGAAGACAGGAAGGATTTTTTTAATTTATGATGGAGAGAAAAAAATAAAAAATAAAAAGTAATATTTTTATATTTTGTTTTATTTTCACGAAACTTTGGAACTCTGTTTCTTCTTATCAGACTGCTCTCACCATGTTGCTTGCATTATTTCCGGCATTAACTAATATTATATAATGCCGTTTTATTTCATGCCCCTCCGAAAATTCTTATCGTCATTAAGAGAACTATCTGTCATCCAATGAATGTGAAATGAGATTATTATTATTATTATTATTATTATTATGTATATTCATATTATTTATGAAAAAATAAGGTTTTCACTATGAAAGATAATAAAAACATTTCTACCAAAAAAAAAAGATAATAAAAACACGTTAAATCACTTGTGTTATATCTGCGGTTGACGAGTAAAGCTTCGACATTTGGTTCTTATATAGAAATCATCCGAGGTTATATATATTCTTGAATTTTTCCATATTATCCCATTGTCAAACTATTACATATAGATTTAAGGAAAAATATTTCAATAAACAAATTCAATTACTTTTTGTTACAACTTTTTTAGCGCTAATACTCGTTTTTAATTTATTTTATCTAATAATGTATATGTAATTTATAAACACTGAAAAATAGAATTATTTTTTATATGAAATGAAAATAGTCGAATCACAAAGCTGGCTTATAGATCTCGTGAATTGTATAGTGTATTATAGCTGTAATAAAGGTATAAAAATGGAATATTTGTAATTTATATTATTTATTATAAAACGTTTTTGGAAAACAAAAATAAGATCGGACATGGTTCTTTGGAGTTGAGATGAAATTATTATATGGAAATAACTCGATTTACACTGTCTCAAGTGACGTTTTGAATTGATTACTTGTTTTTTTTCTCTCATTTTCTAATAGAATTTAATATTTTTTTATTCTTCTGACGGGAAAAAAATATTTCTTTTGATGATTATGAAACTGACAAGACCGAAAATTATATAGAAATTTTTTTTTCTATTTTTATTTTTTAACAATTATAAATTCGGTATATTATATAAAGCGAGAGCGTCTATGATTTATTCATCGCTTCCCTATGCAAAAAAAATAAAATAAAATAAACACTTATTATTTGAACTCTCTACGATTATAAGACAATAAAAAAATGGAACCAAAATAATTTTTTTTGTTTGAAATAAATTACAAGAGGGGGCCACAAAAGATATACCAGCTGTCTTGCTTTTCTTTGCGAGGAGATCCCTTTTGGATTTTTTTTCCATGCTTTTATTATGATAATTATTTAAATTTAATATAGTGGGAATTTTGACATTTTGCATTAGGGGGTGAAATGGCGGGAGCGGTCCAACCATTGACACATTCCCCGACACTTGAAAACAACCTCTGCTTCTTCTCTTCATTTTTTTTTCTAATGCATTATATATATATATATATATATATTTGAAATATGTGTGTATGTATACATATGACTTGATGGGCGACACAAAGTGAAAAAGCTATATTGCTTGAAAATTCTTCTGCTTCTTCTTCGTCTTCTTTTTTTTTCTATTAAATCATTTTTTTTAATTTTCACCCTGACATTGACATATATACTGCATTTCTTTTATTCCTTTCATTAAAATTCAACTACTTTTGCACGGCAATTCTCACCATATTAATTACTTAACCCGTTTATAATGAAACATCATAAGTAGTTCAATGCATTATTTGCACCAAAAACATAGTTCCAATTATTCCCTTCTTTTTCAACTTATCTACTGTTACATTGATTTGGATTATAGTTCACTCATCAAAATTAAGGTTAGAATTTAGAACGATATAGACATTTTGCGTTTTATTTCACCGGTTGAACTACTCAAATTTATATTCTACCGTGTTACATAAATTTATAATAATAATAATAATAATAATAATATGGCCAATGCAAATCGATTCGAATAATCTAGAAAGTTTCAAACTAGCATGCTAATGTATGTGTATATATATTAATTGAAAATACAAAAAATCTATGATATATGGTTATATAGACAGTAAAAAGATTTATATCGAGACAACAAAAGAAAGGAAGCCCGACATAAGCTTTGTGGGAAAACAATTTTGATTAGATTAATATATTACAAAACAAATTGAAAAAAAAAGGCAGTATCTTTTCTTTTTTTTTTTATAACGTTGGGAACCCGCCCTCGACCCTTCGGGTCGGATACCGCAACGCCTCGCAGCCCAAAGGGCCGGACGAATGACACAGTATCGCGGACGATAAACCCAACGACTCCACGCAATAGCCGTTAAACCACGTGGAGCAGGTAAACCAGCCGAAGCTGACCGGCTCAGGGGGAAGCTTGACACCAGGAGGAATCGAACTCTCCACCACATGGTTTTTGAGTTGTCATTTTACCAACCGGGCCGGGTGCTTCCCCCTTTGTTATTAATATCGCGGCGTCTTTTTTTTTTTTATCTTTAAACTTTTATAAAATACGAAGAACTTTGATTAGGAATGGAGACCAAAGTGCATAAAAAAAGGGGGGGGGGGGGGGGGGGGGGGGGAATGGTTGCTGCTGCTGCATGCGTAGTCTATTAGTATTTTTCTTAGGAGCCGAAGCATAATTATAAAGTTTAAAGCCGAATAACAAGAAATATACCTAACGATCTTTAAAAAAAAAAGTAGAAGAAAATAGATGACCTAATTATGTCAACAATATACCTAACGATTTGAAAAAAAAATGAAAAAGAAAATAGTTGAACAATATATTTACACACACAATACATAAAAAATGATTCCATTTGGAAACCCTAAAACTTTACCATGGGGAAAAAATTTGGGTTATTCTATCTCATTTGAAATCTATTATAGTAAATGTTTATTCATATACATGAGGAAGATGTTTTGATTCATTTATTAATATCTTGGAATTTAACATTCTTCTTTTGTTGCTTTTAATCCACCGTCGTGTTGCATTTGAACCCGTTTCTTTTCATAATCCCAATTTGTTAGAACCAAACATGGAAAAAATGTTTTTTTGCTCGAATAATTTTGATTTGCTAAGCAATTTTTAATCCATATCTTACGATAATGGCAGGCTTTCAAACCATGTCGCATGAATTTGGGGAAGACGTTTCGGTATTCGATTTGGGTTTGATTCGGTTCTTTCATTTTTAATAAACTATATCAATCAGGTATTTTATCGTATTTGATTCGGTTCGGTTTTAGTTTTTATTAAGAAAAAATGACATTTCTTAAGATTTTTTTTTTTTTTGTTTTTTAAAATTTGATTCGGTTCAATTTCGGAAAATTCGATTCTGTAAAATAATATCGTTCAAGAATTTTGGACGGTTCGGATCGAAAACTGTATCAAATATTTCCGTTTGATACAGTTCGGTTTTGAAGAACCGTAACGATAACTGTCAAAGATAAATCACCGATTCACGGATCTTGGGCATTTTTTGAATGATTGTAATTTGTAACAAAAGAATGGGATTGATTATTTTTTTTTGTCATTAATAAAATTTTAATTTGGATGGTCACGAAGCACGACATATTAGATAACATATACTACGTGTGAGGACATAAGCTAAGAAGCAGGAGAGACAATTCTATACTTTTGTATTGTCACATTGGCCACAGATCTCTCTACTTGAAAAGCTGAATGAAAGAATGCTTAAAAACAATGCAACAAACAAAAAAAAAAACAATTTAATTCGATGAGTTGCTTTCTTCTTCGTCTGTCTTCTGCTTCCTTTCATAGGCTCAAGCTCCAAGAAATGAAGAGACATAGCGAGAGGCATTTAAAGATAAAGCCGAAAAAAAGGCAATGAAACAGAAACCGATGGTGTTATGTTTGGTCCCGATTGAATTGGTCTCGACCCATTTTATTAATTCACAAAAGTATGATCTAATAATGTCAAGATTTGCGGGAATAACACGCTTGTTTTATTCATTCAACCAAATAACGTAACATATACTATTCAGTAAACCTAATTTCATTTAAAAAAATAGAAATTAATCATATTAGAACAACAACTACATCGCTTCATTCCCAAGTTCATTTGGGATCGACCGTATGAATCCTTTTTCTCCATTCATTTCGATCTCGGTTAACTCTTTCAGAATCTGCAATACTTCCAAATCGTTTCTAATGATACGTTCTCAAGTGAGTCTAGGTCTACCTTTTCCTTTCCTTCTCATCCCTATACTTATACTCTCCACTTTTCTAACCGGTGCATCTATCATTATACGTTGTACATGTCCAAACCATCTTAAACACTCCTCCTGTACCTTCTCTTCGATACCTATTACTTCTATTTTTTTCTAATAATCTCATTTCTAATTCTATCTATCATTGTGTGTACGCACATCCATATCAACATACTCATCTCGATCACACTCATTTTAGACATATATTGCTCTTTATCCATATTAGAACACTAACATTAATCCTATTTATCCAATAATTGGTGTTCTAGTGGTTGACACTACAAAAAACACTCCATTTTTCGACGGAAATATCCGTCGCACAAAACAGAAAATTCCGTCGGTATTTTCAGTTTGCGACGGACTTCGACGGAATAAGTTCCGTCCGGTAATGGTTGTCGCAAACACATCCCGGTCGTGAATCCGTCGCATATTTGCGACGGAAAAACCCGTCGTAACTCAGTCGTTTTTTAGCGACGGAATATTCCGCCGGTAAACGCGACGGACTAACCGTCGCAATCTAGTCGATATGACCGACGAAAACTCCGTCGTTTTTCCATGGTAAACGCGACGGAAATTCCGTCGTTCAGTCGTCGCTCTCACCGACGGAATTTCCGTCGTATTTCCGTCGGATAATGCGACGGATCATCTATCGCATAATAGTCGCAAAGAGGGACGGGAGGATTGGTCAGATAATAGTCGCAAATTAGCGACGGCTTATAACGACGGATAGTTCCGTCGCTTCTTCTATGAGCGACGGAAGATATCCGTCGGATTATTCCTTATGCGACGGATTATTCCGTCGCAGAAGAAATTTTTTTCGAAAAAAAAATAAAAAATTTCGTTTTAAAAAATAATTATACATTTGAAAATTGAAATTGTTTTATATATTACAAATTGAAAAAAAACCGAAATTGTTTTATATATTACAAAACTGAAATCTAACGAAATAAATTGTCCGGAAAATCATCGAGATTTTGGGGATGTTGCTCGTCTTGATGAACCGATGGATCGGGATTGACGGCGGGACTCGGAGCAGACGAACCGGCGGAATCGGTCGGAGGCATAAAACGTTGCATCATCTCCTCTAACCGAGCGATCTTCGCCTGAGCTGCATCAAACTGAGCAATCTTCTCCCGAGCAGCTACAAGTTCCGCAGAAGTCTCCTCGTGTTTTCTCTTCAGCTCCTCGACTTCACGCGTCAGAGATACATGACGTACCACAGACGACGAAGATGCGTCACCACCCCCGAGCTGACTCGCCAACGCACCAATCCCGTAAATCCGACCTTTCGCATCGGGAGGAACGACCTTCAAAACAATATGTAAATAATATTTAAACTCTAACATGTTATATTATTTAAAATATAAAAATTACCTCGAGATACAAGCTGTTGATTTCCTGCGGAGTCAATTGCGTTGAACCGCTGCTCTCGTCCATCGTCATTCGATCGGTAATCTTCGATTGAATGGCCTCTTCAATTTCTTGGGCACGATGATCTACGTACGTCCCATCCGATCGACGATGCGTGTCTTGTAAGACACGCAGAGCAGACGGTTGAACGCCTTCTTTCTCGGCCTAAACAAGTTATACAAAAATATTAGTAAAATTTAAAAACAAATAAATCAATTTTCACAAAATACTTACAATATTGAGAGCAACTTTAGCAAACGATCTTCTCCCCGCAGTGTGAGTTCCTGGGGCACGGTCGGAAGCAGACTTCGCCTTTCGATTCGTCGATGCGATCCGACTCTTCTCTTGAGATTCCTCTGAATCCCATATTACCTCCAGCTGCGCCCAGATGTCTAAACTAATCCAGTCCGGCTTCTTCCGCAAGAATTTCAACCTATAAAGGTTATCTCGCAATCTCGCACCGAGACAATCCTTCCACGCACGATGGACGATATCATGCACAGAAGGATCCCAGTAATAAGATTGTTTTAAACAATATGTGTTAGTTATTTAATACTAAAAAAGATATATTAAACAAAAAACGAACAAGTTAAGACAATACCGCAAAAGCAGCAAACCATCGTGCCAAGATATCTTGCGGGACCCGAGAGATGTTACGCCATGGGCCATGATAATCAGAACGGTAGATCGTTTTGATACTCTCAACCAACTGATCATTCCGATCAAACCTATGATATTCAAAAACATTAATTAAGTTGAACGATGGACGATTTTGATCGGAAACGAAAGTGGTGTTAGAATATACTTACCACAACGCTCCATCAACCGAATCAGGATTGATACAAGGTTGTTGTCGTCGACTCTCTGATGCCAGGATCTCTCTAAGAGAGATCCCAGCAT